AAGTAGGACTCGCCAGAAAGACAATTACTCGTAAACCAAATCCTCAAGAAAATGGGGCTAACGATACCCCCTCTTGGGCTGTTTTGCAGAAGAAATGAGATAATAGATTCGAGTGGAGCTGGCGGCCCTAAGCAGGTGACTGGCGGCGGGAGAGGAGAAATCAGAAGTGGAGCGCAGTGCGGCCCGAGTGATTCCGAGCGTTGAGCGCAAAGGCCCCGCCGAAAGGTGTGCCACGTGTCCCGAAAGTTAGTGTCTCCGGCCAGCCGGTGTGCGGGGCAGAGGCACAGCTCCGCACTGGAACCTGAGGGGTTCCTACGGAATTCCCCCGAGGTCCGCCCTTGGAGCCTCAAGACCGAGGGCAGAAGGCGCCCAAATTTCGGCGCCCGCGCAGCGCGGCCCGGGAGAGGGCGCCCACTTGCTCCGGCTCGGCTCGCTCAGCCCGCGGACACCGCGGCCCGGGTCCTGGCGATGCCCCGCTGGCTTTCGCGGCCGTGGGAAGGCCCAGCGCCCACGGAGTCGCGGGACGGGCAAGCCCGGGCGCGCAGGGATCCAGGAACCCGAGGGCAAGGAGGTGAAGGCCGTGGGCCGCACCTGGGTTTTTCAGAACCACGAGGCCTCAGCTTTCCGGTCTCTGAACCAGGAGGTGACCCTCGCCGGCCGCCCGGCAAAAGCGCGCTGAGCCACGAAGCGCAGTGCGCTGAAGGCGCCGCGTCAGTTTCCCAGGGCTGCAGGGAGAGGGCGGGAGGCAGGGATGGACGCTGGAGCTGGGGGCAGGGTAGGGCGGGGCTCGGGCAGCTTCTCTGGAGAACCCCGCCGGGCGGCGAAGGGTCCCCGGGACCCGCGAACCACCTGGGCAGGGTTCCTAAGTCCCTGGCGGCGCGGACTACTTCCGAGAGAGTGCGCTCCGTCCTGGGATCTGGGCCGGGTCCCGGCGTTTGGGTGTCACCCGGGTGCGCCCTGCCCGCCCAGGCACCCCGGGGCGGGACCGCAGGGCCCCCTCCTGGGCGGGCCGGTAGGGCGCACGGAGCGCGCCACGCGGCGTCTGGCCGGGAGGAGGGCGGCAGGGTGGGGGCCGCACGCTCCGGGGCGGTGCTGAGCGGGCTCCTCCTCCTCGCCTTCCTCCAGCTCAGCCGCCGCGCTGCCCAGCGGATCCTCCTTCCTCCCTGGGTTGCCCGCGGCTATGTTTAACCGCGCCGTGAGTCGGCTGAGCAGGAAGCGGCCGCCGTCAGGTAAGCTCCCTGGACCCCGCGTGCTGGGGATTGGGGCGCCCGCAGGGGCTGCGATGAACCGCCCGGGCAGGCGCTGCCCTCCCAGGCCATCCTTACTAGGCTCGGGCGCGGCTCTGCGATGCCGCACGGAGGGGAGCCCCGGCCGAACGCGCCACTTCTCCCTGCTCCGTCCAGCGCCCCTGCGGTCCCAGCCGCGGCGGGAGCGCAGAACCCCGAGAGGCGCGCTGGGGAGGAAGTTTGTCTGAAAGGAGGAACAACAGCAGTTTTCTTTTTAGTGATGGTCTGGGAGAAAAAGGAGATCCAAAACACCTCCAAACTTTGGAGGTAGTATGGGCTCTAGATTCCGAAAGCAGAACGTCGCGCGAGTTCCCTCCCTTCGAGAGTCCTCTGCCTCCGCTGCGGGCGTTGGTGCGAATGATGCCCACGCGGCGCCAGGAAAGGCACGCCTGGACCCCAGGCATCCGACAGCGCTGTCAAGGCCTGTTCTGCGCCGAGAAGCCGAACTATGGGGCAGTTCGGAGGGTGAATAAATACCAGGTGAAGGGCGCATCTGCAGTTAGCGCCAGGGAAGAGCCGACAAAGGATACAGTTTGGCTGTCACTCTGGACCAGCCACAATTTGGAACGATTTGATAGGACAAAGAACCCGTGGTGAAGATGAAACCATGCCCTTGATTCCAACCATCTTACCCTTTTTGCTCCTAATAGCTAAGCCCCTTTTGAGCGCTAATTGTGGGCCTGGGTCTGTGTTCACTCTGTTTTGTGAATTCTCTTTTCACCTTTAGGGCAACCCATTGAGACAGGCATTGTTCTCCCCACTTTACGGAGAAGGGAACTGAAGCCAGGAGCTATTAGGTAACGTGCTCCAAGTCACACTTAGGTGATGGAGAATCTTTCAAACCCAGCTCGGCCTGACTCTGGAGTTCAGAGGCTTTTCTGCCGCCTCCCACCCCGAGACGCTTCTGCTAGTACCAAGAGTCTGTACGTGTTGGCCCGTATCTTTTTTTCACCTAATGTATTTTATGAGGGACACTGTGGTGAAGAGGATGGACTGAAAGTAGGTTAGCTGGGTCCAAATCCCACCTCCACCACTACTAGCTGTGGAGCCTCTCTGTGTAGATAAGGATCCGCAAAATGAGAATAAGATACCCTTCTTTAAACGCTAAATCGAAGCTGGTTTCTCATCCATCAGATTTTGCAAATTATTGCATTTACCATTTAGGACAACTCTAATAAAGTAGGACTTCATAGAGTTATAAATTGCTTATATCAGAGTTAGTGTTAGTGGTCATGTAAACCTTTCTGTGTTACCTGTGGGTCAAAGGATTCCCCTGTGGGCGTTCCTTTTAGCCATTCCTTATTGTTAGGTATTCACAGGCCTACGGAGTGGTGGTCAGAGCCTGGACTCTGAAGTTAAACTCCTGGTTCCCACCGTGACTCTATCATTCAGCTACCTTGGGCAAGTTACTTTACCTCCGAGCCAATTGCTAAATTATGGGGAAATTTGGAAGCTGGTTGCTAAACCGTAGGTAGCTTGAAATTGGCTACCAGTGGCCACTTACACCTTGGAAATCAGCAGATGCTAAAAATCAAGCTTTTTTGTTTTTGTTTTTCCCTGGGAGAGCTGGTTTACCAGCACACCTCTGCGTCCGTTTTCGCCTCAGTAAAGTGGGTTCAATAGAGCTGTGGAATCAAATACATGAAAGCATATATATGAAGTCCCTAGTACAGTGCATGGCATTACTGAGTAATAATGGTTAGCTCTTATCTTTTCCACCTTTTCCTATTATAAATAGAGCTGCTTTGAACATCCCTGCACAGTTCGCTTTTGGGTTGAAGTCTTCCAAATAGAACACATGAATTTTGGGACATACATGGTTTTGGGGTGCTGTTGCATGTGGGCAGGTTGTACCCCAGAAAGACTGGTGGCAGTTTTAGGGACACCAGTGGAGTGTACCTCTTTCAGGGTAACACATTTTAAGTCTGATGAAATGTGGTTAGGTCACTGATAGAAAGATCAGTAGCTAAAAATCATGGATTGGTATTAAATGCCAGACTTCCAAGAGCCCGATTTCTTTATGACTTTTAGGTTTAATGTCTACCCCCTGATGGGAAAGGACAAATGAGCCCCTGCCAGTTTGGTCATCACCACCCAGCAGTGAGAAAGGGGGAATGTGGGCCCCGAGGCAAAGGCACTGGGAAGCCAGCCAAGTGATCCATGGGACCCTGGACTGAATTTTGTGTGTGTTTTTTTGGTGATTTTGAATTATTTTTCTTAAAGTGGCTCTCCAGATTGTGTAAGTTTCTGGCCCCACAAAACCCGGATCCATCCCTGCTGGACCCTGATTTGAGCCTGGCTGCAGTCCTGCCTCCCAGCTCCTTTTACTCCAAACCTTTCTTGCTTTTCTGCAAAATCTTATTGGAGACAATGTCTTTAAACTGAAGTTTGGTGCTCCCAACGCTTAATTCCAAGTTTCAAAGTGTGATTCAAAGGGCAAATATTCTCCTTCCTGAGCTTTCTCAAAGTGTGTTCACGAACCACAAGGGGGTGGGAGTGGAGGTGGGCTCGACAAAATGCAGCTTTCCAGGCCCCCCCAGACCCCGCCCCGTCCCGGATTCAGTCCTGCGGACCCGAGGTGGGAGGGAGAGTTGGCTGCATTTTTGACAGTTGATTCTTACGCCACTTAAGTGTGAGGACCCCGCCAAGGATTCTGTGCACCCACCCTGCCCCCCACAGCGACTTGCACTGTTGATGGTACATGGGATGCTCTTCGCTTGAAAAGCAAAGCCAGAGCCACGGCCTTCCACCGCCCCCTGCGAGCAGAACACGGGCTGAACCGCCAGGGGAATTCCCCGCTCCCCCGCCCAGAGCCTGTTATACATTATCCCATTAAACCTCTGGGACCAGTTTCAGATTTATGGCAGGGCTTAAGTTTTTATTTAAAGATGACAGTTGACATACAATTTAATGGCCGGCTTGGCTGCTGGGGGAAATTTTCCCTGCCGAACATCACTGAGCCGGGCCTTCAGATTCGGGGAGAACGAAGCGGGCACAGAGAGGCGGGGCTGAGCGAGGGGCGTGGTTTATACACGTGTGGCGACCTGAACACCACCGCGGGCAGCTCGCGGACTGGTGGGTGCCGGGCGCTCGGGGTGCTTTACTTGCCTTCACAGACTGTATGATGTATGAACTGATGTCTCCTTTACTCACTGTTAGAAACTGTGGAAACCAGGCAGGTGCCTGGCTGGGCCATTTCCTAGGGCTTTCTGGGTGAACTGAGTCATTTCCCTCCCTGGGGTTGAGTAATCCCCTCGGCCCCCTGCCGCTGGGCTCTGGGAACTTGCTGTTTAAATTGTACTAAATTTACGCTCACCAGTTTCTTCTGCTTCCCCCAGATAGCTCTCCACGGCAGCAGCCCCGGGGGTGGCAGCGGGGGCCCAGGCAGGCGACAGAAGCAGCTCCTTGATAAGAGCTGTCAGGAGGCGCACACTGGAGCCAAACAGTCCCTTGCAGACTTCCGGGGACCAATTTCCCTTCCCAGTAGGTTCCCATCTCTCGAGGGCCCCGCCGAGTGCCTGTGGGTCGGCTCTGCTGTCCCCGCTCTGTGGTGGGCTCAGGGACCCCTCATCTGGCTTGCCTTCTCGCCCAGTCCCCCCACTGCCCGCCCCGCCCTTGGGTGGCTGGACATTCCCACCTCTGTCCTGTGTCCTCTCCCAAATCTCCAGGAGGCCCGCTCTTCCAGGCCTCCTGCCTCCCTCTCTGCATCTGAAATGCAGCCTGCCCATCATGCCTCTCCCCGGACAGCTGCAGAGGCCGCCCATTTCAGAAGGGACAGACCAGGGGACTCAGATCTCTGACCGAGCCCAGAGCTGCCTGCGTGACCTCACACAGTATCCAGTGTGTCATCTTGCTTGTGTGTATTTAGAGAGTGAGTGTGGAGTGGTGGGCTTTTCTCTTTCCTTCCTCGCCTCCCTGCTTCTCTGCTCCACTTCCTTCCTTCTTTCTTTTCTTTCTTTCTTTCTCCAGTTGGGACATTAAAAAGCAACAATACCATCATCAACTGTCTTTATCATCCCACAAATGAAGGATGTTTCAACACCCCAAATAGTAGGAGAGATATAATGTCACGTAAAGAACTTGTCCTGATACACAAGAATCTTCCAGAGGCTGTTGCTTCTAGGGGAGAGGCTCTGGGTCGCTGAAGGACAGGGGCGATAGGAAGACCTGTCCCACTGTGCTCCCTTGTGTAGCTCTTGTCTTTTGTACCCTGTAAATAAATGTAATTACCTACTTAAAAAAGACAACCCAACACTGTCCCACTCGATCAGCACAGCTCACTTGGTAAATATTTCCTTCTGCTTATTCTCATTCTTTCATGGACCAGTGAAGAAAACTTCATGGCAGTGTGTGGCATTGCAGCCAGATGCCATCTGGGAATGCCTGGCTTCATCTTCTCAATTATTTTTAATTTCCCTGAGAAAATGGACCTGCCTTTTATTTCTTGCGTCTTTCCCTGCCCTTCCCTTAACAGCCTCTGCAGCCAGACAGCCTAGGGTTGAGTCCCAGCTCATCAACTTCCTGGCTTTCCCCTTTGGAGCAAGTGATTTAACCTTGTTGTGCCTCAGTTACCTCATCTGTAAAATGGGCCACCGATGGACCCAACCTCCAAGGGCTGTGAGGTTGAGATGGGATGTAGTCAGTGTTCAGTAAATGCCACCTCTTTTTACAACCGTCATCCTCCTCTCTGTTTTGTCCCCCGCTCAACCTGACAATCTATCAGAAAACAGCTATCACTATAAATCTATACAAGAGTGCCCTGCACTGCAGACCCTGAGGAAGACACAGCTCTTACTCTCAAGAAATACACAGTCTACCCTACTGACACCGGAGAGAAAAAGTTACTTATTTTCCCTGAGGTGGGGGCCAGGGGAGAGCAAGGGCACATTTCCGCATAAGTCAGGTCCCAGAGGAAGCATGGGGGCTTCTGGAAAGTGAGAAGAAATACGGACAGGGTCTTCACTTTCACCTCCAGAATTGGGCTTCTGGGTAGTTTTTATTTTTTCTGGGCCTTTGCCTAGAAAGTGAGGATTCTAGGGAAGCTACAGATGACAGTCTGGCGTCCTTATTTCCTTCCCTCTGGTAGAAAGTGGAAACTGGGGCCATCTGTTGTTTAGTCCACTCAGAAGAGGATGTTGAGGTTTGCTTTTCCTCTGGATCCAAAAGGGTGCTCTGGAGCCCCACAGCCCCCGTCTGTCTCGCACAAAGCGTCTCTGAGAAGACAGCGGAGTTTTGGGCTGCAGGGACCTCCCCAGGCAGACCCCAGAGCATGGCACGTAAGGAAGGCTCCCCACCCCTTTGGCTATCAGATATGCCCTCAGCTCACCCATCGCTGGGTGCTGGCGGGCAGGGTAGAGGTAGGGGTGTGTGTGGTGCAGATGCAGGTGCACAGGGGGCCTCTGGAGGGCTCGGCTGAGCAACTTGACTTTTTCTGAGGCCTCAGACCTCGTGGGAAAACCGCCATGAGGCCGTTTCTGAGCCCAGCTGACCTCTCCAGCCTGTTGGCCTGCTCTGGTCTTTGATGCTTGCTATCAGTATGATTATTTCAAAACGATTTTATTTTTATTTTCTGCTAATGGCAGTTCATGCAAACCTCCCTACCAAGGGAATTGCATGCCTGAACGCTCATTATTCTCAGAAGCTAGATACTGGAGCTGATAAACACTTAAGTAATATTTAGATAGAGGGTTTCCATGACCCAGTTTCTCTGGAGCCTTACATGGATCACCAGTTGTGAAAACGGATTCTCTGCTTCTAAGTGGGATGACTTTTTAAAAAATGTGATGTTTGATGTGATAATAGGTGATATGAGGTTTTAAATCAGTTTTGTGGGGTGTGTACTTTCCCTGATTATTTTAAAGGAGTATGGTGTGTGTGTGTGTGGTACCAAACCACATTAGAATTTAGGGTTAACATTTCTGCCTTTTCCTGGGCTTGAATGTTTAGTTTGTTTTCTTTAATGTGCTGTGCGTTTGGGGGGTGCCTTTGACAAACCCTCTGAGGATGTAAGTTGACTCTGCTGTTGAGGAAGCTGGATATTGAGAGTTTACTAAAATCTTTGACTTGGGGAAATTGTCTATGCAGGACCATTAGCCAGACCTTCCTGAAGACTAATAGCAGGAATTTGTTCCGATGAGTGTTAGAGATGCCTTCTGAGTATGGATTTCCAAGGAATTACTGTCTGGAGAAGGTCTCTGTTAGATATGACATCATGGCATCTATAAATAATGCATCAGACAATGTGCTGCAAGCAGTCAGCCTCAGCCCTCTGTACCTGGATGCTGTGCCGGCTTTGAAATAACAGCTTTTACCGCACAGAACAACGTAAACGTACATGGAAAGCGTCTGCCCGTTGTGTTTATGTGCTGGATGATTCTGGCCCAGTCGTAGGTGGGTTTTTGTCTGCAAGGAATTGGACTCTTCGTTTTTGCAGTCTTCTCACACATAAGTGTTATCATTCTTGTCAAGGCCATCATGTTCTGGCTTCTGTGAATGTGAAGATCAGCAGATATCAAAACTAACAATGGCAGCCCATTGACCTGGGCTCTGGAGGCAGGACTACCTGGGCTTGGACCGTGACTCCCCGTTTCTAGCTGGGTGCCCCTTGCGAGTTACTGTGCCTCCGTTTCCTCATCTGTGAAGTGAGGATACTACTAAGCACATCTGAGGGTCGTTGTGAGAACAGAATGATTTAACCCATGGAAAAAGCTTGGAATAGTACCCAGCACATTGTGAATGATTCGTAAGTGTTAATGGTTATTATTAGCCAATGACAGATTCATCTGAAGATGAGTATATTGAAACGTAAGTATCGTGCCTGCAAAAATCTGAAGCTCTAAAATGCTTTGAAGGGCCCAGGAGGTAAAAAAAATTATTTTTTTCATTGCAGAAATGTTTTACAGATGATCTAAACGACAACAACAAATGAGCAGGGCTGGACAAAATGGGAACAAACAAATGTCATCACCACCTGCTCCTTACTAGCTTGAGTGATCTTAAAGCTGCTAGAAAGATAGGTTTAACTCTTTTTCCAGCTGTGCATTCCCAACCTACCTTCTTGTGTAATCCATCTAAAATGGAAACTTTTATCAATGAAAAAGGAAAGAAGAGTGTTGGACCTTTGTGTTTCCAAGTGCCAGGAACTGGGAAGGAGTTGGGAAGCTGGGAACTCTTGTTTTTGCTTTATTCTTAAGCTCAGAAGTAAACTTGCTTGCTGTGAAGAAAGGTTATTTCTTTCTCCTATACATCATTGGACTGATTGTAACATTTAAAGTGAACCAAGTTGTCTTAGGAAGCCCTTACTTACATGCATCGGAAAATAGGGCAAGTCTACTTGTACCGACGAGGATCCTGAGAAATGGAAATGCCTCAGGTTAGGGGGCAGTCTCTTAGGGCATTGCCAAATGGAGTGGACCTCTGCCAGTCTCATTGGAGGTTGGGGATAATGACTTGGAAAGGAGAGACATCATTAAGTGAATGGAGTTTGCAAATGTTGCTCTAACTAGAGATATCTATCTATATTGATACCAATCAAGAAGGATTAAAAAAAAAAGGCGTAGCCAAAGGCCTTAATCAAAATGAAAAGACAATCAGGAAGTCTTGGCAAAATTCAAGTCAGTATTTCTGGAAAAGTGAAAACACATGGCAGTAGAGTTTGAGTAGAAGATTCCTATAGTAAAAGGAATGCTAGGGCAGAAGGTGAGCAGAAGGGCAAGAAGAAATTTCTCTTTATCCATGGCACCAAAGCCGAAACTAATAACCATGGCTATGGCGATACTTTCTGTGTCTTGGTATATGCTTTCTGGGCCAGCTCTGAAAACTCTGTGCCTCTGTAACAGTGTCAGCCATAGACGTATTTCATGATATCGATGGAAGGGAAATGGTAGCCTAGGAGGGAACTGAAAGGAAGGGCCACCCATCTGCAAACTCCTGTGTTCCGAGGCACCCTGGGGTTCCATAGAGGTGGTCCTGGTGGGGACAATTGCCCGCATATTTAAGTCCCAGTACTGGTTCCATCCAGCAGTTCCTTAGCTGGGTCACCTTACCCTCTGGACCTTTATTTCTCAGTCTGTTAAATAAGGAGACTAGATCAGATGAGTGGGTTTTGAGTTGTAAAACTTTTTGTTCACACGAAAGCCAGCACAGAAACCTAATATGCAAAATGACTAGAGTATGAAATAAAAGAGGGGAGTGAGGAGGGAGCAATTGTCTCACCGTGGGGATGGCTATCTTATCTCTCAGTTAACCAGAAGACCTAGTTAACCAGGGCACTCTATTGGCTAAATGGGAATCCACCAAGTGTATTTATTTGCAAGACAGTGAGGCTGTGAAAACCCAAATGTGGTTTGGTTTATTATTGAAAAGAACGTCAAGAGTTTTGGAATCACTACAGGCCAAGGTTGAAAAGTTATAGCCAAAGCAGTTGTTCTGCAATGACGAGAGAAATTTCTGGCTACCTACGATTTTTCCGGAACAGCGAACTTGTGTCTCTAATTTATTTACTTAAGAGAAGATCTGCTAGGGGAGTAGAGTAAACTGTCAAACTGTATTCTCTGGGTAGAGAACAGGGAGTAAATCTGTGAAATGCTTGGCAGAATGAACCCTGTTGCAGAAATTTCTTACGATAATGATCTTTTAATTTGATTTATACTTCATTGGGAAGAAATGCAGTGTTCAGAAGCTTGCCGTTTTAACATTTGCAAAGAGAGCAGAGAACTAATTTAATCTCCACGAACTGAAGATTCACTTTAGAGAAGTGTCAGGTCCATTTGTGGTGTTTGAGTGAGTTTGCCTCTCAAGTAAAGGAATGGATTTGTCCCAAACAACTCTCTTATGTGCTCCATCACCAATGCATATTGCTTCTGCTTTATTTAGCCTAAATCAGCCAATCAATGTATAGAACCCAGGTAGTTTTCCCAGATGCTAGGAGACCGAGTCTCAGCTGCTTGAGAAATTAATATGTTTGTTGACCTCCAATAGAATACAGTAGATCACAGAAGCTGCATTACTTCCATGTTCAACATATTCTGATACAACTTTCCTCCAAAAACATTTGAAACCATATGACCACCTAGCTACTTGCAGCAATTAATATTCATAAGACTTTTAAAATTTATCCTTTTAAAATGATTGTTTTGCTGATTTCTTAATTTAAAGTTTATTTTCTCCCAGATTCAAACTTTTCTTTAGAGAGACATGTCTCTACTTTGAAAAAAAAGAAAGCAGTGGAGAAAAGAAGTATTAGCTATAAAAATAGTTCACTTGATAAATCATTATTTTAAGGAAGCAGAGAGAAGAACTAATATTTTTTGAGGGTACACTGTGAGCATCTAGGTGCCTGATGTGTTTCCTCCTTTAATCCTTCTGATAACCCCAAGAGATAGGGGGATTATCTTCATCTTACACAGAGTTTTGCCCATGTTCACATAGTTCGAATTGACAAAACTGGCTTTGGAACCTGGGCCCATCCGAAGTGACATTCCATGGATTTTCCCTTGACTCCAGGAAGGGGCCAAGTTCTGTAGATGAGGTGTGTTTGTGTTGTTACTTCCTCCTTCAGACAAGTAGCCAGAGTGTGTTAGTTGGAGGTCCCCGTCCCCTTTCCTTTAGTCAAGAGGCTCTTTTTAGAGGTAAGAGTAAGAGAGTGCAGCAGATGTGCAGGTGCAAAGTCACGGATTCATTTAGCCTATGCCCTTCGTAACAGCGTCCCGCCGAGACATATTGGAGCCTGAGAGGCACAAGGAAAAATCAGTTATAATGATCCTGTCTTTATTTAAATTTTTGGTATTTTGCTCATTTTGGAATTTTTTGCATTAATTTTGATTTTTCAGAATATTGCATGAAAACCTCATTTACCTGATGCCTGAGTTTTTTGAGCACCCCCTTAAATTTTGCACCTCTGGCCAGTGCCTCCCTTTCCCCACCCTAGTCCCGGCCCTGGTACACACTTTAATCTATGTGCCAGGCAATGAGCTACCTGCTGGAGATACAAGATCAAGATGCAGAGGAGCTTTCAGACTGGTGAGCGCCGGTCGTGCAGTCACAACACAGCAGGATAATTATAAGACTGTGCACAGAATGTAATGGGGGAAGAGTTGCTGTTGAGTCAAGGTCCCTGGGAGGAGGGCTTGAGGGAGACTTGAAGGCTGCCTGCGGGTCAGCCAGTGGACACGTGGGTGGGGGAAGGATATATGGGGAGTGTTGGGAAATGACAAGTCCCTTCTCAACTCGGAGCCACAGTTTTCCGCATCTGTAAAATGGAGGGAATAGCAGCATGCCCTTCATAAGGCTGTTGTCAGGACTAGAATGAATTCACTGTGTCAAGCACGGAGAGCAGATTCTGGCATATAACTTACTATTACATCTAAGCCATAATGGTGATGACAATGATCATAATGCCCGTTATAAGATGACAGTATCTTTGGGCCACATACACAGTCTAAACTTTGCTTTGCAGACATCCATGACAGTGATGGGAGTTCCAGCAGCAGCCACCAGAACCCCAAGAGCGCAGACAAATGGGCGGCTTCTCTGGAGAATCTGCTTGAAGACCCGGAAGGCGTGAAAAGATTTAGGGTTTGACTTTTTTCGTTGTTCACCGGGCTCGACGCACATACAAAGAAGTTTAGAAGCCTGTGGGTGGAGCACAGGCCAGGTTTTAACACTGTCTGGCCCAACTTGAGAAGCAGAACTTCTCACCTGTCATGACCAAGATGGAAGTGCTTTCCTGGGCAGTCGTGGACCAGCACAGAGGGGCGTGCACAGACTGTTTCTGTTTTTTTTTTTTTTTAATTTATTTGGTTGCACCGGGTCTTAGTTGCGGCAGGCGGGCTCCTTAGTTTTAACACATAGGCTCCCTAGTTGTGACATGCGAACTCTTAGTTGTGGCATACATGTGGGATCTATTTCCCTGACCAGGGATTGAACCTGAGCCCCCTGCATTGGGAGCGCAGAGTCCTATCCGCTGCGCCAGCAGGGAAGTCCCTCTTTCTGGTTTTTATATAGCTAGATGGGAGCGGGGTGGGGTGATGAGGAAGAGGTACTGTGCTCACTGGCAGAATCTACAAAGAATTTCCAGCTCTGTGACACCTGGGAGGGGGTGGTCTGGGTCTCTCTGGTGTGAAGGTTTGTTCACTTGTATGTTGGGGATTCTCAGGATACATATTAACAGAGTGAAAGAGGCTGGACATCAGCTGACAAAGTGAAGATGAACTCAGAGAGGAGAGCAGGTGGATGGGGAAGTGTCAGGGCTGCCTAGAAATGGCCTGCAGAAACCCCAAGTGTCAAAAGAAGCACAGGTGAATTTCAAGAATGCCTTGTATCTGCCTGAGTCCCACTGACTTTTGTCTTTTAAGTCCTGGGTCAGGCCAGGATAAGCCCTGATGCTGTTGGTCTCTGTAGCAGACTCCAAGGAGGGGGTAGCAGGCATTTCTGGACATAGGACCACCATCTAGAGCACCGTCTAGATCTCCGGGAGAAAACTTTTCCGTGCACAGCAGGATAGCTGGCTGTGCCACTAAGCCCCCAACACCTGCCAAAAGAAAGCACACCTCCAGCTTGAAATGGTTTTCATTGTGGCATTTTTAGACATGCTTAGTATGTTTTCTTTTCTTTTGTTTAAAAAAATGAGCCTGATTTTGAAGGAATGTACTTTGTTTAAACACTGTCTGGAAGGAACTAATCTATCTTCCACTTTAATTTACTTTTTGGTAACTTATTGTCAATTGAGAATGGTGAGTAGATTCCTACTTCATGTTTACTCTTTTCCAGAGTGTCAAACCCATTAAGTTCAAATGCATATGAAATTCCAGCTTTAACATTAAACATACACTTTGTTTTCAGGGTAGAGCTTTTACAGGGTGAATGAACACCCTCATTTGTTGAATTTTGACTTAGTTCTTGAAGGGAAATGCATTATTTGTTTTTTAAGTAGAATACTGTTTGATATTTTTTCTTCTTTTCATCCACAGGAATTTTTAAAAAAGGAATTCAGTGAAGAAAATGTTTTATTTTGGCTAGCATGTGAAGATTTTAAGAAAACACAAGATAAAAAGCAGGTACTTCTACTCTATAATCACATTCTTGGTAATTTTCTTCTCTCTTTATAAAGTTACATTTGCCTTTCCAATAAATTCTGAAATTGCCTAGGGAAATCTGATCTATATTGGATTTGGGGGAAGATTTAAACTTCAGAATAGCCTATGTGGTATTGATCAACTATTAACAATTTTTTTAAAAAGTGTGTTAATCTATTTTTTAAAATTAATTAATTTTTGGCTGCGTTGGGTCTTCATTGCTGCACGCGGGCTTTCTCTAGTTGCGGCGAGCGGGGGCCACTCTTCATTGCGGTGCGCTGGCTTCTCATTGTGGTGGCTTCTCTTGTTGAGGAGCACGGGCTCTAGGAGCGCGGGCTTCAGTAGTTGTGGCACTTGGGCTCCGTAGTTGTGGCTTGCGTCCTCTAGAGTTCAGGCTCAGTCGTTGTGGCGCACGGGCTTAGTTGCTCCGTGGCATGGGGGATCTTCCCGGGCCAGGGCTCAAACCCGTGTCCCTTAACCCCTGCGCCACCAGGGAAGCCTTGTTAATCTATTTTCAAATGGAGCTGTTCAAATGTTTAAAGTAAAAATAATGATTTAAGTCATTGAGAGTCTCCCATTGAGTATGATTGCTTTTTCATGAATAAGTTGTGTGCATGCTTCCCCCAGAGTTTGACGTGTCTGTGTTTTTTACGGACACCGTCAAGCAGATGTGTGGTGATAAAAGCACAACGCACGTCCGACGGACTGTCAATTATTCAGTATATGTTTACGAAACACCTTGTAGTTGGCCGGCATCCCACACAGAAAGTTTCTCACTGTTCTCCTGGGTGGAGGTGGAGGTGTGCTCTTTGCGGGAGGTAGCCTTTAGCTCCAATGCCAACCAGATTTTCTGCCACTGGAGGTTGGGCGTTGGGGTGGTGGAGGAGATTATGGGGAAGGAGGCTTGTGGATTGGGTGTGTTTATGAGGCTCATGCCTGTGTATTTCTAAGAGGCTAGTGGCTAGGTGCCTACAGGAGCCGGTAATAATGTGCACGAGTGAGGTTTTCTGTATGAGGCTGCAGGGAGTGGTGGGGACTGGGGCCATTAGGGGGTGGCCTGCCCTGCCTCCAGAGGCTGTAGCTGGTTGTTTAGCTGACTTCGGCAGTGAACGCTTTGGGGTCCATGGCCGTCGGAGCTTTCCCAGCTTTGGGTTCTACCCACCTAGGTCTTCGCTTGCCCACCCTTGCCCCAGAACCCTGAGGGACCTTGCTTCCTAAGGCATCTTCTCCCATCTTTAGTCTGACGCTGCCTGTTTTTGCAAAGAAGCTGGACATTTGGATTCTTATGTGAAACCATCCAGTTTTATAAACGATGGAACTAATTTTTTTTAAATGTAAAACCTTGTCTGCCAAAAAAAACATATCCATGGGCAGATGTGGCTTGTGGGTTGCCAGTTTTTAAGCCTCTGGTTCCAAAAGCTGGAATCCATGAGGCCAAAAGCCATTACGCGTTTGCAGAAAATGTCTCTCGTCAGTTTATTCAAAGGCTTTTCCACCTCAGACACCCTTTCCCCAAGATGGAGCAGTGTGACCTTCGCTCTGTCACCTTCCCCTCTGTCAGGGCAAGGATGGATTCCAAGATCCCTTGAGCTGAACTTCCTAGGTCAGCCCAGAAAGCCATCCCGGGCATGATGCTGGGCATTTGCTTCCTTCCTGCTTCTTCACCCTGGATGACTTTATCTGAGCCCTTTGGGCTGGTGAATGGTCTCAGGTGTTGGCTGTGCCCCTTCAGGCAGGCATGCCCATCGCAATCCTTTGCCCCCAGCACCCAGCACAGGGCCCAGGGACAACTGTCAATAAATGCTGGCCTGGGCAGTGGGTTCATCCGGCCTCACCCTAAAACCCTAGCTCAGAGTCAAGCAGGCAGACAGATGTCCATTTCTCTGCCTTCATTTGCGTGTTGGAGCTTAGAGGGGCTGACAGGTCAGCCAGCCACCCCTGCAGTGTACAAACCAGGCAGCTGAGGTACCCGCGCGGCTGAGCTGGGACTTGAACCTGCCCCATGAGCTGCCCAGTCGTTTTCACTGCATGTGAGGCTGACGTGCCCTTCAATTCAGTTGAGTTTTGCCAGATCTTTGCAGCGCGCCTGCTCGGGGCCAGGCCTCGTGAAAAGCATGGGTGACACACAGGGACAAGACAGATGAGACTCCTTAGGGAACAGGGCTCTAGAGGGGAAGCTGCTTGTTAAACAAGCCTTTGCAAGTGTGACGAGAACAGAAATGGGAAGTGCAGGATCCGTGGGAGCACAGGCAGTGGGTGTCAGGAAGGTCCCTGGGGAAGTGACTCTCAAGCTGACATCTAAGTGGAGTTTGGAGATGGGGGGAGTGTTCCTGTAAGAGGGGACAGCCTGTGGGGAGGAAGGCCTGGAGAGAAGAGCTGAAGGAAGACCAGAAGGCGGGAGGCTTGTGCTTGAGGGGTAGGCTGGGTCTGCTGTGTCTGAGACTGGGGCCAGAACTGGAGAACCGGGGTGTCAAGGTGAACGCTGAAAAGCCACGGGGTTGGATTGCACCGTCCCGTCCACATCCTACAGCCAGAGCTTCCAGAATCTGGCAGCCCTCTTTGCTCCCCTAGCCCTGACACCTAGCATATGACTCCTTGAAGGTTTGTGTCCTGAGGCCTGGATGTTGCTTCTGGGCAATGACTGCTGCCTTGCCGTCAGCTGCTCAAGGATGCAGACAGAGCTGGGAAAGAGAGGAGCATGCGTGAGGCCTGCGGGGTCCACACCTTGGTCTGGGTCATCACACTCAGCATCGTGACAGTTCCCACCCTTCCAGATGCTGGTCTGTGGTCTGGGAGGTTAAGCTATGGCTCGCCTACAGCCGTCCAGCTCGGTGCAGACAGAGGCAGGATGCAGCCCAGGTCTCTGCTCCAGACCATGTAGTGGGTCTGGCTGCAGGGGAAGTAGAACCAGAAGTAAGTTCTGTTTCACTGATTTTAAGAAGCAGAGAGGACATAGCACAGGGAGAAGTCAGCCCAACTGCATTTCGCAATCAGACTTATTACATCTGATCCAGCATGAAGTTTGTGGACCATTTACCTCTACAGTGAACTAAGGCAGTTGTGGGATTGATGCAAATCTCACTTTTGCATCTATTTAAATAAGACCTGTGCTGGTTGGTTTTTTTTTTTTTTTTTTTTTTCATTTTTTACTATCATTATCCAGCCAGATCTCTGGTACCTTGTATAATTTATTTATCTTCTGTACAGTTTGGTTTTCCCTCTATCATGCAGGCTCTATAAGGTTTGTGATCTTTGTCTGTCTTCTCCCCCACTGGGACTGTGTGCCTAGGATAGTTCCGGGCTCGCTGTTTCCTTCCCAATTTCCACTTAGGTCAGCTGACACCTGAGATCTGCCGTGGGTAGGGTCCCGCCCTCTCGCTCACCTTGAGCTGCAGTTGCAGCCTTAGGGGAGGACTTGAGGGAGGAGCGTGCCATCCTTTCTGTTGGGGCTTTGCATTCTCAGAAGCTCCAAACAGTGGACTGGTGCTGTGTCTTTGCTGCCTTCCTTGGTCTCTGCTTCGCCCCCTGGCAGACAGGAAAGCAGCCCTTCAGTTTGGGAGGGTCTTAACGCTCTGTATTTATGGTGGGGATGCTGGGGCTATAGGATGTTGGGAGGGTGATGCCTCCCACCCTCCCTCCCTGGGGTTGTAATTGCCAGGTGTTCATATTCCACAATCAGCTTTCAAAGCAGTTCTCTCCCTTTGCTATTTCTTCGTGGTTTAACATTTTTCTATGAAGAACCTCTTCCCCATGAATTAGCATGTGAGATCCATCTATCTTTTAACATAAAGCAAACTTTATGTCTTATAAAACCTCAGAAAAAGCTCCAAGAAGGTGTTCATTCTTTGGCTATCCCTGAATTCATTCATTCATTCATTCATTCATCTGCACATGCATATTGGGCCTGTTTACTGTGTAACAAGGATTAAGATGGATACAGCGGCTCGTACAGATTTGTAAAAACCAAACCAAGTGGGGGTGGGGAAGTGGTGGGGTGGTACAAGATGTCTAATAATCATAGCTCTGAGAGCAACTTGCACTGATATTTAAATATAATAGTACCATGCATTTTTATAGTGTTTTAGAGTTAACAGTTATGGGGGGAGGGGTCTATGGTATTTATTAATTTTATTGTATTTATTTAACACTAAAACTTGATCCAGGGTTTTAGAGTGTTTGATGTTCTTATTTAAAGTAATAGTAAAGGTTTTCCTGAAAGGCTAAAACACTATCTTCTTTATTTAAAAAAAAAAAAAAAAAACTACTTAAAAATCCAAAAGTGATGAGTGTTCCTTATATGAAGGTCATTCAGTTCACAAGCAGATGCAGTAAGAAGGGTTCATGCCCTCAGCACCCTCCAGGTTTCACTCTGTCTCTGGTTTGGGCTGTGTCTTTCTGACCTTTGACGTGGACTTGGCCAGGTCCAGGCGGGACCGGATAGGAGCTCAGCTGCTCACGGTGTGGGCTGGGGTCTGGCATGGGCCTGCCCGGCATCTCCACTCCTTGCTGCCTCACTGTGTAACTTTCCGACGTCCTCTACTGTCTTCTTACTGTAACCAAGGTTTCACTTACTTTACATCCCTGTCTACTGCATTTTCCTTATTAAAACTTTACTGTTTACTGTTTGCTGCTGAGCCAAAGAGGATGCTACGATTACATTTTTTTCTTCCTGGACCATTTTTTGCTCTTCTTATTTTTATACTCTCAGATAGCCCTTTAAAATGCTTCTCGATACGGTGTTACACAGGTCTCTCAGATCATCTCTGCAGTCCGAGTTCCCCTGGGGACTCCTCCCGGGGCCCCCTGACTACCCCACCCACTGGGGCGCCCCCCTGTCTTCCTTTGCCACCAGTGGCCATTCCGTCTGTCCCTCCCCTGCCTCCTGGACCCAGATCCTCATCTGTCTGGAGTCACTCCCTCATTTTGGTGGAGCATGACCAGCAATAGCTTCTTGAGAAAGGGTACATGGCAGGTAGACCTTTAAAGAATCGTATTGAGTGAAAATGTTATTTTTTTCCTCTTCTCCTGCGTCATGGATAATCTGATGGAGCATAGAATTGAATTCTAGGTTAAAACTCACTCAGAATTTTGAAGACATTGTCCCACGATCTTCCATTTTTGTTAAGAACCAGTATGTTACCTGTAAGCAGTTTTGTTTTCTTTGCTTGTTCACCACCAGTATTCTAAAACTGTACAGTCAGAGGCTTAGAGCGGGCTGAGGTTCATTCATCGTGTGGGGCATTTGGTGGAGCCTTTTAATCTGGAAATTTGTAGTTCTGGGAGATGTTCTTATATTGTTATTTTTATTATCATTATTATTATTATTTTTTTTTTTTTGCGGTACGCGGGCCTCTCACTGTTGTGGCCTCTCCCGCTGCGGAGCACAGGCTCCGGACGCTCAGGCTCAGCGGCCATGGCTCACGGGCCCAGCCGCTCCGCGGCATGTGGGATCTTCCCAGACCGCGGCACGAACCCATGTCCCCTGCCTTGGCAGGTGGATTCTTAACCAGTGCGCCACCAGGCAAGTCCCCCGATGTGTTTATAAACTAAACATACCTCCAATCAGCTGGGTTGGGAGAAATTTGCTGGACGTCTGTGTGCGGAATTTCACTTAACCCTTGTGTTCGGTTTGGCATCTCTTCCTTGCCCTCCTTCGTGTCTCTGTCTGCAGCTTCCCTGAGTCAATTTCTTTAGAGAAGAAAACTCCAGGCTCTCGGGGGTGGGGCGTGGATAACTGCTCAGAGCTGGGGGTCGGGACCTGGGGGTCTAACGGCTTCTTTCTGCTGCCTTCTTCATCCCTCCTGCCTAGGTTCCCAGATGCCCCTGAGTTCCTGCCATTTTGGGACATTTCTTTGCATCCCCAGCCCTGCCACCTCCCCTCACCAACCTTGCAGGCGCCTAGGTTTCTCCTTGCTGCTCTCTGCAGAGTCATTCGCTGTCCCTCCATCTGCTTTCCATTTCCTGAGTCTGTTCTCAGAAATATTCTCAAATCATTTACTTGACATTTTCTTTGCCTCATTGTCTTTCTGAAGTTGATATTAATGAAGGTAGTGGCTTGATCCTTTAATTTCCTTATGTGTCCTGTCCCGTTGTCCATCTCTGGCAGAGTGATGGGGACAGAGGGGAATGGGCTGGCAAGATAAGCAAGACTCAGTGACAGGCAGGGTGCGGGGTGAGAGAGGCATTGGGGGATCACTGTTCCCGGCTTCCTGGAGTAGAGACGGCAGGACCCCCCTGCCAGGAGGGGCCCACTTCTTTCCTTGGCGTTAGGTGTGGGGTGTCTGTGGGACATCCAAGCCCACATTACTGGAAATCAGTTGGCTACATGGTCAGTAGCTTCGGGGAGAGGGATGGGCTGAGATCTTGGGAGAGCATGTGGCTAGGAAAGCGTTCGGCCTAGGGCAGAACTTGGGAACCCCCAGAATTTATGGGGGTGGGGGGGACAGAGGGACAGGAGCTGGCGAAGGAGACAGAAGCAGGGAGGTGTTGGGGAATCCTGAGAGGGCAGTGGCACTGAGCAGGGCCAGGGGCCAGAGAGCAGTCCAGGAGAAGGACGGCAGTGGGCTGGCAGGGTGGGCAGAAGCCAGGGGCTGGGGAGCAGGTGGGAGGGAGAAAGTGGAGACACAAATACACATTTTTTTCTTTTGAGATGTTTCAGTAAGAAGTCATTAACTATAGGGGGATGTGGGTAAAAGGTTTTGTTTTATTTTCCCAATGGAAAAATGTAAAGCACGCTTATTGGATGAGGGAGAGGAGGCAGAACGTGGAGAGGCGCGCTCGTGGGAGCATGGGCTGCCGATGCCTTTGCCTTTGTTCTGGGTCGATTTTTGTTTCTGGGACTGATACTAAGGGGAATTTGCTTCTCCTAAACGTGCACTTCCTGGGAGCAGTGCTGGAGCGCTGACGTCTGCTGAGCACCGCTGTGGCTGATGCACTGCCAGGCGGGGAGGACGGTCCCGGGCTGGCGGGGTGTCTGGGAAGCAGACCTGGGTGCACACGCTCCCACGGGCATTCCTCAGGTTGATGCCGGGAGTCACCACACAGACCCAGGGGGGATCCTTTTCCGGCACCGTCTGGGGCAGGGTTGGGCGCTGGGCACGGCTGCTGTCCACAGCGGGGCAGCTGCTCTGGTAGAGTCCGTAGAGTCTGGTAGGAGAGCGGCTGACCATCTTTCCAGGTCACACCAGACCCAGGCGGCCTCACCAGTGGGGGATGTTCTCACCCTGTCCCGACAGGAGCTGCAATAGGGTTAACCAAGCTCTGGAAAATATACCAAAATAACTCAAGAGACCTGGTTCTTCTTTTTTGCTAAGTGTTCTTGGCGTGGACACCAGGCCTTCCCATGACCGGCCTGCGGTTGGCAGTCTCAGGGTTTCCCTTCTCAGTCACGCTTCCTAGCCCAGCCAGATAAGCTCTGCCCACGAAGCCGTCACTCTGAGTGATCAGTCAGAAATGAGGGTGGCCCTGGCCTGGGCGCCTCGGTGGCCCTGCACTCTTCCCAGAGACTCGGGGTGTTGGGGACATTCGGGGGGTGCTGAGAGGCCCGAGGCTGATATACCTACAGGCCCTGCCTCCCCGGAACCTGCTTCCTGTCTTCCCTTCCGCCCCATGTCTAAGCCTCAAGCTACTCGTTATACTTCTTCTTTTCAGAACCACCCAAGACAGCCTGCATCCATCTGGAAAACTGTGTGTGTGTGTGTGTGTGTGTGTGTGTGTGTGTGTGTGTGTGTGTGTGTTCAGGGGGGAGGGAAGAAGGAGGGGAGGCCTAAAGTGATTTCTGCTTCCAGGGCCTCACATGGAGTTTGCTAATCTGACTGGCTGAAAGTCTACTTTCATGAAGTATTGTTAAAACAGGAAGTGGTTTTCCAAAAACGTTCCTTCCTGACAGATGGGGGTGGTGGGAGGGAAGCTCATGGCTTCCTGGAGGGAGTGGGTCTTCAAGAGGCGGGTGGCCTCAAAGTACTGCCCCATCCGGTCTCCACAGCTGTCTGCAGGCCTGTCCCCTGGAGTAGCCATGTTAAGGCCCCGACCTGGACGGTCTTCCTGCACGTCTTGCCAAGGCTTTCCTTCTGGGGGGATGGCAGGTGGTCAGGCCTCCATCTCGTGGGGTCGTTTGTCAACTAGTCCCGGTACCTAAAGAAGTTAAAGGACTGCTTTTTGCCTTCTTTCAAGCACCTGCTATTGAAGCCTTCTGGTGGTTTCCACGAGGCCAAAGGGTTTCAGAGCCTGGGGCTTCCTAAGCCAAGCTCTGCAGCACGTGGGAGGCCCCAGGTGGGCTCTCTGGAGAGAATGGCAGTCTCTAGGCAGACCCCGGAAAGCCTCCTTGCATCCCCCCGCAAATCATAGCTCCGTGGCTCCACGTCAGAGGCGTATGTTGTCTGGCTTCCTCTGTAGGGTGAGCTAATACTGAGGCCCTAATGTTTGGAGAAAAGCCCCATATTTGCCACCTGCGAGGTGCGAGCCCCAGGAAGTCAGAGAACATAGAATCCTCAGGGGACGCCCTGCAGGACCCCGGCATGGATGCCTGCTGTGTTTAAGAGCACCCGCGGTGAGAGCATTCCTGTACCAGCCACTGCTGGGTTTTGGTGCAACCTAAGTGCAGATGCGCACACCTTTTGGAACTCCACTGACAAGCCCTCCCAGGGCAGTGCTTCCGTAGGGTTGATGCCTTCCGGCCTGACGGCCCTTGGGCAGGCAGCAAGTGTTCTCTCTCTTGCTAATTCTCATACCTCCTTCCCTGAAAACAACCCCCAGCCCTGGAAGGCTGACAGTGCATCGCCTGCTGGGAGGATAATGTATTGCGCAGGCATGGACCTGAGCAGAAATGCCAGGCTTTGGAGTCAGATGGTCCTCTGTCTCCCTGTGGGCTCCCTGGGTAAGCCACGTCACTTCTCCTGGCCTCTGTGTCCTCGTCAGGGATGGGGCACTTCATGGGCGCCCAAGGGGTTAGGGAAATGGGACCATAGTTGTAAAACACCTAACGTGTCTGGCACATAGTAGGGGCTTGATCGCTGGTTGGGATATGTGTTCGTGGTTTAACTTGATTTTTTTGTATTGTGGTAAGATAGACACGACACACACCTTACCACAGTGACCATTTTTTAGGGCTCTCATGTTTACCATTTTAACCATTTTAAAGTGTACAGTTCAGTGGCATTAAGTACATTCACAGTGTTATACATCTATCACCACTATCCAGTTCCAGAACTTTTTCATCACCCCAAACAGAGACCCCTTACCCATTAAGCAGCCACTCCCCGTTTCCCCCTCCCCTAGCCGACCACTCATGTCTCTGTCTCTATGGAGTTGCCTCTTCTGAATATTTCACAGAAATAGAATCATGTCACGTGTGGCCTTCCGTGTCTGGCTTCCTTCACTGAGCGTAATGCTTTCGGGGTTCATCCGTGTTGTAGGATATGTTGGTGCTTTATTCCTTTTTATTGCTGAGTAATGTTCCCATGAGGCCTCGATTTGGGGCAGTCATAGGATGGCTGTGGTTGCCACCGAATGTCCCTCACTCCGGGCTGGGATTCTTTCCGACATCATTTCGGAATGGATAGTGGTTTTGAGACAGGAGGTGTGGCCTACAGATGCATGGAAGAGGAGGGGAAGGGGCCAGTCTGACCGTGAGCCCCCCCGCCCCCCGACCTCCCATCCAGCTCAGCTCCGGAGCCACAGCCAGATCCCCCAGGGCTCTCACAGCAGCGCTCCTTCTGGGCTCAGGCCGGGAAGGGCTGTGCTTGCCGATAACAGACAGGCTCTCCGTGTCTCCCCCAGATGCAGGAAAAGGCGAAGGAGATCTACATGACCTTTCTGTCCAGCAAGGCCTCTTCACAAGTCAACGTCGAGGGCCAGTCCCGGCTCAATGAGACGATACTGGAGGAACCGCACCCACTGATGTTCCAGAAGCTCCAGGACCAGGTAACCTGACTTCCCTACATGCACCTTGATTGGAAAACTGGCATTTTTTTCCCAGCCTGGAAGAATTCAGTTAAAACCAAATGTTCGACACCCTAGAAGCCATCCCACCCGACCGGGCAGGCTGTGGCACGTGAGGGGGCTGTGGTTGGTGAAAGAGCAGGCTGGCCTGCCAGGCCCAGGATTTGACCCACTGGAGGCGCCCTCAGGCCTCGTTCCTCTTGGTCTACACGTAGTTTGACCGAGCAGGGTTATCTGTCTTCTCAACCAGATGAGAAGGGAGGCTGGAGCTGTTTGAGGAACACACACTGAGGAAGCAACGAGTGGTAACCGCTGAAGGTAGGAGCAGCCAGAAAAATCTAGAGAAGCAAAAGCACGTGGACTCGGAGTGGCGGGGAACCTGGGGCTTTTGTGCAAACATCGCCTCCTGCTTCAGTTGGCCCCATAGTCCCCTTTGCCAACGTAGTCCACTTAAAGCAAGAAAAATTAGGTTTAAAAAATGGACCTAGGGCTTCCCTGGTGGTGTGGTGGTTGAGGGGCCGCGCTTCCCTGGTGGCTGAGGTGGCCGATGCAGGGGACGCGGGTTCGTGCCCCGGTCCGGGAAGATCCCACATGCTGCAGAGCGGCTGGACCCGTGTGCCATGGCCGCTGAGCCTGCGCGTCTGGAGCCTGTGCTCCGCAACGGGAGAGGCCACAACAGTGAGAGGCCCGTGTACCGCAAAAAAAAAAAAAAAAAGGACCTAGAAGGGGTAAACTTTAGTGTTCTGGCAAATTTTCGTATGAGTAATGCCAGCAGTAAAATAGGCAAGAGGGGTGAAGCTGCATCGCAGAGAGTTTTTTAGGCATGAATTTGCAGATGTGACTATTCATAGCATGCTCTGTTCTTATGAAACGTTGTATGCACACATGTGGACCATGGAACACTGACAGATTTCAAACTTCTGCTGGCCCTGTTCTTATTGGGGAAGCAAAGGCCTTACTTGGCACACAAGTGGAGACCAGCTCTTAGCTTGATTCAGCATTCCTCCAACATGAGCAAGCCTAGAGCCACCTGTTGTTACAACAGAAGCTGGGCCCCACCCCCAGAGTTAACCAGTGGACTTGATGGTTCCCAAGTGGGCTGAGACTTTGCCGTCCTAACAAGTCCCCAGGTGGTGCTCATGCTGCAGGTCCTGGGACTACACTTTGAAAACCACTGGCCCACGGCATCAGCTGGCATTTTTTTGATCACCTGGAGTATGCACAGAGCCCAGAGCCATGTCCCAGCATGCAGAAGGCCTCATTTGCTCAGCATCAGATAGAAAACAAATAGGTAGAAAATACAAATATTAGCTTGAGAAGGTTTTCCAGTTGGTACAGTGGCAAGTGCAAATTCCACCTGAATTCTAAGTCAAATTTGAGTGTTGAAGGGACTCCAGTTAGCATGGGAGACTTGCTGAGGGCTTCCTGGAGGTAGTGCTGTTGAGCCAATGGGAGGGATGCCATGGACATAGATTTGTGGAGGGAAAGGGATGCATGGTTAAAGGCAGTTCTTGTGTCTGTAGCCACACGGGGGTGTCTGCCCCACCCGGACCTCAGAATCTTTTACAAACTTCCTAGGGTACTCTGAAATGCAGCCAGGACTGAGAACCTGCACTGAAGCCCCTGTGTTCTCGGTATTCTCAATAAGAACAATATCTACCCTTCAGGGGTGCCCTTCTGTGCCCCCTTGGCATATATTATCTCATTTAATCTCCAGTGAGTAGTAGTATTCCCATTCTGATGATGAGAAAAGCAAGGTTCCAGGAGACTAAGTGGTTTGTTAGCACGAAGTCCCATAGGTACAGGGCGTGCTGGAGGCCGTTGCACCTGCCTTCAAAGACTGTAGCTGCACACACTCACAGCCTGTGCAGCTGTCCCGCCCTCGTGGGCAGCCCCTCATAGCTCCTCAAAGCCGTATGAGACCGGTTGGAGCAGAGGGATTGCCACGCGAATACAATCCTTTTCTGGGATCGCCGAAGGCAAGGTAGCCGCAAGGAATGAGGTGGGCTGCTGTCTCTCCACGCAGTGGGACAGCTCTCCTGTCCCACCAGCTCTCCTTGTGTTAGGCCTGCGACACATCTCAAAATGGAGCTAGGCCTCTGTGACCAGGGCACCCCCCGTTGGATTCAGACTGTGGGAGGTTTAGCTGGTGCAGAAAGGAGGAAATACAAGGGACCAAGGACAATTTTTTTAAGTGACAAAATATTTTAAAAATAACTTTTGTTAAGAAAAGCTTTTATTGACCTAACTAGAAAAATCATACATGCTCAACAAAAGAAACTTGGGAAACCAAAATATAAAGATAAAAACAATTCATAATTTTATGCCTGGAGATAGCATTTAACGTCTAGACTTTCCATCATTTTTTTTTCTATAAATATGCATGTGCACACACATCTAACAAAGGTGGCACAATGCAGTTCAAACTACTTACTGTAAATAAAATACTTTTATACCCTGTTGTTAAAAGTCACTTATTTGAGGGGAAGACAGAGGTACTAACTATCTTCCTCGGGCATAATTGGGTGGAGAGAAGGTATTTGGAATCTGAGCTGAGTCCACAGTGAGTCCCTGCAAAGGCCTCTGGGTTCTGTTTCACTTCAGAAACCTCTGCCTCTTGGGGCCCTTGCTGGCAACTGTCAAAATGTGTGCTCAGCAGAGTCTATGGGTCTCTGCTCCCTAAAGGCCGTCACAAGAGCCCTGCTTTCCTAAGTGAAGGAGAGTGAAGCTGAGGGGAGCGTGTTTGGAACCACAAGATTTCACGTAACTTAAAAGCCTCCCCAGCGGCTTTGGCTTCGTTGAGCACCGCCTGGCTTTATCGCCGAGCTGTCTGAGCTGGCTGTGTTCAGCACCGGCTCACCAGGAAAACTCCAGAGGCCTCAGCCCCTTCCCACGGCAGGCAGCGCCCGAGCCCTGGAGGCTGCTGAGACGGCAGCGTGGACTTTGGGGCACAGCTGGAGCAGAAGGATGGGAAGATCTTCCCTGAGCATCAGATGAGATGACTTGACATCCACGAATCCCATTTAAAGGAGAGCTTCTCGGGTCTTCATTCAGGTCCTGTCGATTCTTGGTTTACATACAGTTCTAACAGGTTCTGGTTTTTCAGTTCACAGCGCATTGGAAGTGCTGGGAGAGGCTGTGGAGTGAGGGGCAGCAAGAAGTGATGGCTGACAACCAGGGAGGAAGCAGAAAAATGATACTAAACACAAAACCACAGCACAGTGATTGGGAACCACTGAGCGTGGGGAATCTCACAGCCCCACACACCGCACTGGGGGCATCCCTGTGCTACAGGACGGTGATGCAGTTAGTGATCCTAATGACCCCAGATTATAAAGCAAAACTTAAATTGTGGTCAGCGTGTTCACTGCAGAATGTGTTAGGCGTTTTAATAAGAATTTCATCATAGGGCTTCCCTGATGGCGCAGTGGTTGAGGGTCCGCCTGCCGATGCAGGGGACACGGGTTCGTGCCCCGGTCCGGGAAGATCCCACATGCCGCGGAGCGGCTGGGCCCGTGAGCCATGGCCGCTGAGCCTGCGCGTCCGGAGCCTGTGCTCCGCAACGGGAGAGGCCACAACAGTGAGGGGCCCGCGTACTGAAAAAAAAAAAAAAAAAAAAAGGATTTCATCATAAATGATATCTTTTAAAAAAAATTATTCATTTGTTTGTTTGTTTATTTATTTATTTGGCTGCACCGGGTCTTAGTTGAAGCACGTGGCATCTGCATTGCAGCATGCGGGATCTTTAATTGCGGCCTGAGGGATCTAGTTCCCTGACCAGGGATTGAACCTGGGCCCCCTGCATTGGGAGCGAGGAGTCTTAAAGCTGGACCACAAGGGAAGTCCCCATAAATTATATCTTAAGAGAAGTTGGGGGGCTTAAAACTTTGTTACCTGGAAGATTCATAATTAGAGAGACTGTTCTCTGATTTAATCCTGCTCTGCCAGCGTGGCCCAGTTGTGTGCCTGGCACGTGCCTGTAAAGCCAGGAGAGGTGAGGGTAGCACTGGGGGCATCTCCCTGGAACTTTAGCCTACAGTCAAAGGCTGCTGTTGGACAATTTTAAGTTGTGGGAAGCAGGAAGGAGGAGGTGATCTTACGAAGAGCTGTTTTCTTCAATGGATTGCACTTCACTGCAGTGGCTTTTTAGTCTTAAAAACTCCCCTGGGAGGTCTAGTTCAGTTCTGGTTGGTTTGCTGGTGTGTGAACTTGTTTTTTCTTTCATTCCTTTATGCTATAAATATTGATGCAGGGCCTCCTATGTACCGGGGACTGTGCTAGGAACTGTGTGTGCAGTGAGGAAATCAGCACCTGTCCACCCAAGAGGACAGACAGAGATAAATGCTAAGAAGGAGATAAAACAGATGACGGGTTAAGAGTGACTAAGAGGGGCCTATTTTGGGTCTAGTGGTCAGGGAGGACTCCTTGAAGAGATGCCTGAGATCTGAGTGGCAAGGGGGAGCTGCGTGAGAAGACTTGGGGGCAGGACCTTCCAGGGAGAGCCAATGGCAGTTGCAAAGGCCCTGGGGCAGGAATCCACTGGGTCTGTGCCTGCAGTGGAGTGAACAAGGGAGATAAGAAGCTAAGCTGGAAGGGACTGGCCGGGGTTAGGCCCTGAGGCCATGGCAACCAGTTTAATTTCAACAGTGACTATAGAATGTGCCGGCTGGGCTCATAAGGTTTGGTTCTCTTGAAAGCCAGGCACCTTGGCTCTGATCCCCAGCTCCGGCTGTGCCCGTCCCTCCTCAGCCAGTCAGGAGAATGCAGATGACTCGGTGCAGATCCATCTCTGTTCTAGAAACTCAGCTGCGAACCCGCAGTCTCCTGACCATGGCTCATTGTTTGTACCCTGATGACCTAACCCCCTACCCCCTCCCTTACTCCTCCCTGCCCATCACTTCCTGGACGCTGAGCTCAGATTTACTGTCATTGTCACTGCATGTTAAGTAAGGCTGGAGGGGGAAGTGGGAGCTCATGTTCCA